GGGGAGGGGAGGGCAGGGGAGGGCAGGGGAGGGGAGGCAGGAAGGGAAAGAGGCCTCGGTGGGGGAGGGGCGGTCGCCCAGCTCCCTCCAGCTGTGGGAAGGGGGTGAGGGGTGTGGGATAGCCGTAGGCTCCCATCTGGAGACAATGTGATCAGTGGGTTGAGCAGTGCCCCTGGGTTTAGAGCCTCTCGCTGCTTCCAGCCCTCCTCTAGGCTTTTTCTCTTTAGGCAGCTGAGTGCACCTGGACTCTAGGTTTCAAAATGCGCAGGACCATTGTCAGTACAGGTGATGGCCCCATGCAGCTGCGGCTTTAAGATCCGCCCGGCCCACAGGACACTCCGGTGGCTTGTGGTGGGTGACCTCTGCGTTTGGGGTGAAGCAGGTGACCTCTGCGCTTGGGGTGAAGCAGGAGATTCTGTAGAGATCGTTTGCTCCGATCCCCAAGAAGAGCAGAGCTATTTCCCAGGAGGGACCAGCGGCCAGGCCCCACTCAGAGCCAGGGACTTCCTGTCCGCAAAGGGCCGGAGGGCTGCTCCCAACTGTGTTTTCCCCCCTCTTCCAAACACCCTCCCCACGCCATGCCTCCTGTGAGGAGAGCGGCCAGATTCCTGAGGGCATTTTTAAGAGGAAAGCAACAGAAAACCTACTGAAAGATGGACAGCAACAAGGAATCCCATGTTTCATCAAATCTTCGATGCAGTCTTTTGTAAACACCCAATTATTTTAAGTTCCACTAAGAAGAAACGCTGCCATTTTAATTAACATACCATAAAATATACATCCTAAGTTCAGAAACGTTAAAATGTAAAATTGATGAAATGTGGCAAAAGAAACGTGGAGGTGGGACTCTTCGATTTAGCTCGGGGTTCGGCAAAGCCATCCAGGACCCAGGTACTTTTCATCTCTCTGCCTCCCACCCTCGGGACAACCTCAGATGACAAGCATCGGATCCTCATACGGCAGCATCCAAAGGAGAAAACAGGACGTTTCACCTCACGTGGGCCTTTTTAGAAATGAACAAAACCTTTGTCAGGAGTCCCCTGGCAGGCTTCTCCTTGCAGCTTTGGCCAGAACTGCACCGTGCGCTCAGGCCTAACCCGTCTTGGCCAAGAAGAGAATTACAATGACTAATCCGAGTCTCCCTGGGCCAGGAAAGGGGCCCGGGCTCCCAAGAGGGCCTTTGACACTTAGACAAAATCAGAGTTTTGTTACAAGGAAGAAACGGAGGAACCTGCCATCCTGCTTCACCCCGAAATGCTCTTTTCCACTCACCTGGTGGCTCTGAAGACCTCCGCAGAAGCCGCCTCTCTCAGAGCTGACCCCAAGTGCCCCAGGACGAAGCTCAGCCAGCCATGGGCACTATCGCGAGAGGCAGCCAGCATGGCGAGAGGCAGGTACTATTGCAAGAGGCAGCCAGCATGGCGAGAAGCGGGCACTATCCCGAGAGGCAGCCAATATGCGAGAGGCGGGCATTATCGCGAGAGGCAAGCACTATCGCGAGAGGCAGCCAATACACCAGAGGCGGGCATTATCGCGAGAGGCGGGCACTGTCGCGAGAGGCAGCCAGTATGCGAGAGGCGGGCACTATCACGAGAGGCAGCCAATACGCGAGAGGCGGGCATTATCTCGAGAGGCGGGCACTAACCTGAGGAGCTCAGGCAATGGCTGCGTTACATCCTCAGATCTAAAATAACCTCAAAGGGTAGTTCTAAATTAACACTTTTTATGGCCAACAGTTGTGTCCTAGACTAGAACCCTCCCTGAAAAATCCAGTCTTTACCTTAACTAAGCATGTTGTCTTTTACAACATACCTTTCGAATGTCAAAATCACTTCCCTTTTCCGGGACCCCCAGGGCACAGCCAGTGCCCCAGAACAGAAACGACCAAGCCTCTCATTATTTCATCACGCTCAGTACTAATCATTAAGTGTCCTCTACGGTGACTGTTGACAGTTTGGTTCAAATAAACTCAGAGAATCCGCCACAGGTGGGACAGGGAGCGAGGCCCTTAGGCCGCAGGCCGCCTCTTCTCAAGGGCCCCGGAGTCCAGGCCGAGGCCTGGCGGCCGCCCAGTGACTCCACTGCTAACCTGCCCCCAGGAGAAGCTGGCACCTGGGAAGCGGAGTGGGCAGCGTTCCCAGGCCCTGCCACTTTCATCTTTCGGTGAACTCGGGAGGAGCCCCCAACCTGCCCCTGGGCTCCCCGTCACGGTCCGAGTCGGGTGCCTCTCGGAGGGGCAGAGCCCTCAGGGGTCCCCGTCCCCCCTGGGGAGCGGTCGCGGCCCTTGGAGGGCTGCAGTCCCGTCTGCACCGAGGGGCTGCCCCACGCGGGCCGGGCTCCCCCGAGGGCCAGGCTTGGACTGTGCCGGGCGCCCTGCAGGGGAGGCGCCCGGCTGACTGCTGAGGGGCTGCCCGGCCTCTTTAATCCGACTCACTGGCAAGTTTAAATTTTTTTTTCACTTCTGGGTTCTCGGTTTCCCGGAGAGTTGTGGTGGCAGCATGACAGAGCCGGGCCGTCGCTCACACTGTGGAGACAATCTCCCCGAAGCGTTGTCGCAAGACGTTAGGGGGCTCATTCTGGCCACACTGCAGATAAGCAAGCTGCGGGACAGAAGGGTGTCCCGGGAGCCAGCTGGCAGGCCTGGATTTCTGGCTCCCAGCTCTGTACTCTTCCAGAAAATCCCAGAAATCGAGGGCAGACCCCCCCCAAGCACTTTTCTCAAGGAAGAAGAAACAGCACCCTCCTGCATTTATAAATTTCGAAATTAACACATTTCGAGCTGAGAGAGTCTCCGTTCTTCTGAGGGGTGCACTTTGGAGCAGACCCCTGGCTCAGGTCCAGGCTCGCCCCCACTGGCTGTGCACTCTCAGGGAAGTTAGTTAACTTCTCTGTGTCTCAGATTCCTCAGCTACGAAATACGGATGCTTCTGCACACTTCCCAGGGCAGTGCGAGTAGGAGGTGACTTACCGTAGGGGTGTGCTTAAGCCCAGTACCTGCTGTGTCCTGAGCCCCGAATAAATATTTCCTGTGGCGATTACTATGAGGAGGGCAGGCTAAGGAGCCAGCCAGCCTGCGGACGCTGGGAAAACACAAGATGGAAGGGTAAAGGAGGGCTTGGGTGCCCGGCAGGCAGAGAGAACGGCTGATGTTCCTGTCGCCTGCACTGTCCAGACGCCGCGCAGAGCAGGCCGAGGCCGAGGGAGTGGCGGTGGTCACGCTTCGTGTTCTCAGAACAGTCTCAATAACTGACACCTGTTGTTACTTCGAGAGAACCCAAGCCCTTACCTTCGCCATAAACTAAGCCCCAATATTCTAGACACACATATAATTATGTGCGTCCAGGGCAAGCTGGGGTGGTAGGAGGGAGAGTTGCAGAGGCATGGGAAATTATTTTTAGATGAAAAAGAGTCATCAGCCGGGTATGTAAAACCATCTACTGTCACAAAGCCGCTGACACTATTGACCGCGCCACGCACTATCCAGTCCCTCAAAGGGGGGAGCCGTTGTAATCTGAAACCTACGACACCAGCGAGGGAGCGGTGGAGCCGTCCAGGAATTTCTGGGAGCATGTCACCGGGGATTATGGGCATCTCAAGGCCCAGCTATGATAAAAATGCAATTTCAAAGTAGTTTCTCTCCTTTTCAAGTCAAGGGAAATAGCGCTTGGGAAGCGTGGGGAACTGGGAAATAGGTCAGACACTTGTCACACAGGCTGCTGTAGGAAGGAGAGGGCTCTACAGAAACCATCTTGGAATTAAAATGTGACAATTAATGTATTCATTCCACAGCTATTTTAGGGCCAGGTCACAAGAGGATCAGACAGCCTTGGAAGCCACAGCGTGTGATGAATATTACAGCTAGATCTGGAACTGGATCCAGCAGGCCCAAGGGATTCTGCCACTTGTTGAGTTTCTCCTGCTTTTCCCTTCAGCTCCAGCAAGCAGGGCTCAGGGGTATCGGGCTGAGTCATGTGCCCAAGTACACACAGAGGTTAGCTAAGGAGAGGCCTCAGGGACTGGAGCTGCTGGGACAGCTTCGGGTGTTTTGCTGTGAGCTCTGGGATTCAGATAGCCTCAGAATGCAATATTGTACAAATAAGCACATTTTCCTGGGGAGCTCATGATTTCAGAAGAGCAAGGACTGCTGCTGCCTGAGGGGCTGAGTGAGCTTGTTCCCAGTGGGGACAGCTGTCCTCCCCAGGCCCCAGTGCCTCTGTCTACTGCACCCTGGCCTCCTCAGGAACACCCCTCTTTCTATATTCCAGACTCTCTGGGGCCCTTTCTCAGGGTGTGCAGCCATGTCCTCCTCTACCTGACCTTGGGAGAGCCCGGCCCTGTTTGGCTGCCCAGATATCTGCTGGGATGTTTTTCCAGCGTGTATCTCTAAGCCACAGCGAGCGATGGCAGACAGCCAGTCCAGGACTTCAGGTCTGGTTTGCTCTCCCTAATCTTCACATCCAACAACACTGAGAATTCTGCCACGTGCCAGGCATATTCTAGGCTGGATGAATAAAGTCTGTCTGTAGACTTAACATCTACAGAGCAAGACATATATGAGAACCTGCAAATGCACAAAATGGAAAAGAGCAGGCTGGGTTAGATGCCCCTGAAGTCCGTGTGGCTGCAGTGCAGTATGGAGGAGGATCCAGGGGGCCCCAAGCAGAGCCTGTGACTGTGTCTTGCAGCAGTGAGGAGGCAAGGCCGCTGTGGCCCACCCGCCAGGCGCTCAGTGAGGAAACTGACTAAGGTGGTGTGCGGCCTGTTGGGTGGAATGGGAGCCGGCTCCAGGCCTGTGTGTCCTGCCTAGAGACATCCCTGACGCCCATGAGTAAAACAGAAATGTCACACTTGCTTCACCTACTGGGTAGTTTGGAGGAGCCAGTGAGATGCTAGAAATGAGAGAGCTTTGGAAACTAAATTTGTAAAAACAAGGTGTTTAGGCAGTGGGCCAACAATAATATTTGAATACGGCACCATTTCTCTCATTACCACATCCATTCCCCATGGCATTGCTCTTTTAGAGGGAAGGAGAAGGGAGGAAGTGGCAGAGCCAGCAGAGCTGGAAATAAATGAATTCAGGACCTGCCTTAGGACTGCAGACCCAGGGCTTCCCTGGCCCAAAAAAGGGCCGGAGAACAGTCTGGCCCAGCAGGGAGCAGAGCAGCCGGTTGCTGCTCCACCTGTGCAGGGGAGCAGATCACACCTGCCTACAAACCACTGTCAGTACCCAGAGGGGCCCCTGGAAGCACCCTGCAGGCCAGGCTCAGGGTTTCCCCACGGAGGTGGCTCCCAGCTCCCCACCCTTGCTGTGAATGGGAGTGGTTTCCAGGTGACTCATCTGAGTAAAACGCAAAAAAAAAATAACAGCTGCGATCGGCATTTTTCTAAGCAAGTCTAGTGCCAGACCTTGTATTGTGTTCTAACTTATCTCAGGATCAGAGGAGGAAATAAGAAAAGACTTGGCTTTGTTTCCCTCGGAACAAGGACATCTCTGCCCTTTTCTTTCCCTGTGAGAACAACTTTTCCTGTGGCCTGACTTGGGTACTAAGTGAAATCCCCGCCTGGGTTCGGGCTGCCCTTATGCTGCAGAGGCAGGGCTGGAAGATGGCCCTGAGGTCGACGTGTCTGTCCCAGCTCGAAGATCTCGGGCAAATTGTTAACCTTTTGGAGCCCAGTTCCTCTGTCTAAAAAATGGGGCTAATAATGGTATCTGCTTCTTGAAGACTAAACGAATAAATCGGTACTAAGTGCTCAGAACAGTGCAGAGAGAAAATAAGCCCTTAATCAAGGTAGCTAATGTTGTATTAATAATAGCATTATTTGGCCCTGGTGGTTTGGCTCAGTGGTTAGAGCATCGGCCCTCGGACTGAAGGGTCCCAGGTTCGATTCCGGCCAAGGGCACATACCTCAGTTGCAGGCTCGACCCCGGCCCCGGTCAGGGCATGGGCAGGAGGCAGCCAGTCGATGCGTCTCTCACATCGATGTTTCTCTCTCTCTCTCCCTTCTACTTTCTCTGGAAAAGCAATGGAAAAAAATATCCTCTGGTGAGAATAAAGTAAAAAATAACAGCATTATCTGGTGTTTATTACCTTCTCACCTCCCTCTGTGGCTGTTCTGGTAACACAACCTCCCATGCGTCCAGTGTACATGGGATTGCCCTCCAAAGTTTACATCTCACACGAAACCTTACTGCCTTCTCGCTGGGCCCTACCCCCTCCTTAACCAGAAGCCCCCTCTTCTGTCCCACCCTCTCCCTGCTTCCCCATCTGCGCCTGGGCAGATCACCAGCCCCCTTTCCTCCCCAGACACTGTGTCCTCATGACCTCTCACGAGCTGGAGACAGCCATTAATTCCGGAAGGCCCTGAGAGGCAAGGGGTCCCAGGGAGCTGTGGCAGGTGTCCCAGCTCTGGTACTGGCTCCTGACTCAGTGCCATCCATTTCACACCAATAGCAGTGGTCACCGCTTTCAGGGCTGACAGGGATCTGAAAGGCGAAGTGCCTGGCATGTAGGAGGCCTGTGGGATGGCTAAGAGCAGGGGCAGTGGGGTTGGGATAGACCCAGTTTCCAGTCCTCGCTGGGCATGTGACCACGAGCAGGTCCCCTCACCTCCGGGAGCTCGACTTTCTTTGCACACTGGGGGTGCTAGGGGCCCTACCTCTCAGGATGCTCGTGCCCATTAAAGCGGATGAGTGAAGGTGCAGCAAGCTTTCCACAGGTGTCACTATTATAGTATTAACAATGTCCTGCCCCCGGACGCCTGGAGCAGCAGTGACAAAGCTGAGCAGGGAGCAGGTGCGGGGAGAGCCACCCTTGCTCAGCGTCCCCTCCACCCTCTTCCCCGCAGGGCTCTACGTGCTGGTCGGAGCAGGGGCCCTGATGATGGTCATGGGCTTCTTCGGGTGCTGCGGAGCCATGCGGGAGTCACAGTGTGTGCTCGGATCTGTAAGTGGGTGCCAGGGGGAGAGGAGAAGGGAGTTGGTCTGGAGGGAGCCCGACGGCCGGCCTCCAGCGCCAGCTCTTGCCCTGCCCCACTGAGGCCTTGGTGGTCGCCCCTCTGCCCGAATCTCGTTCCTCCACCTCCTGCATAAGAACAATATTATCTCTGTCCCTGCCTCAAGTGGAAAGTTTAGGGGGAAATGAAGTCATGCGTGTAAAGGTGTTTTGGGAGGAAAAGTGTGTAATAATTGAAAGGGCCAATTATGATTGTTCTTTAAAAAAGACTATTTCACAGCAAGCGAGGCGGCTGAAAGGTTCCTACAGCCAGGGAGGTGCTGTTATCTGCAGGAAAAGCATTGCTGTGCGAGGGCAATGACTTCACTGAACACCCCTCTTGTGGCCCATTTGAACAAGCAGCCTGTTTTTTAAAGAATGGGATAATTTCTGTTAACTGCTGTACATCCAATGCCAGCAGGCAGCCTGTCCTTGCTCATTGCAGCCTTTGATTTTTGCTATGAAAAATGTGTAACTCATTTCCTTGCCCTCCATTCTCTCTCTTTCCCCTGCTGAGCATCTCTCTGTCTTATCACTGAGCTTCGTTAGAACAGAGCAGACCCAACAGAAATCTGTCCAGAGCACCTTCGCCTCCACCTTCCCCAAAGCCAGGCCCCGCCGGCCACCCTCCAGCTCCTGCTCGGGTGTTATAGAGCCTCTTTCGTCCACCAGGTGCTCGCTGAACACAGGCGCCAGGCTCTGTTCGAGGTCGCAGGATTTCTATATGACTACCTGAAATTACCTAACGTGTTTATCGCTTTACTCATTTATCAGCTCTTCTCCTTTCTAATACGAGGCCCGTGGTAGCAGAGGCGTGGGGATGTTGCCTTACTCGGCATGGCATCCTCAGCACCAAGGACAGTGCCTGGCACAGAGCGAATGCTCAATAAACGATTGCTGATGACTTAAAGAGTGAACAAACGCAAGGGAACTGAGGGAGGAATGGTCCTGCTAGATCACTTCTCAGTGATAACCTTGCCTAATGGTTTGCAAGTAGAACTAGAATCAAAGAGGCTGCGTAAACTGAAGAGGTATGAATTAAAGCTAGTATCTTCTCTCCACAGTTTTTCACCTGCCTGCTGGTGATATTTGCTGCTGAAGTAACCACTGGCATGTTTGCTTTCATAGGCAAGGATGTAGTAAGTAAAACTGACTTACAATCTCCTTTTTTAATGGTTAAAGTGTTCTCATCATGGCAAAGGATATGATGATATTGATACCCACAGTGATATTACGAAACCAAAAGCTCCCGCAAATAATACTGTTTATGCAGAACTTTTAACCTACAAGTATTGTATGGAACTGAGCGTATGAGTGTGCAGCACATACGTGCACACATTTTTCTGGGGAGACATTTCATAGCTTTCATTAGATTTATAAAGCGGTCTATGATTTTTTTCGAAGGACCTTTAGTAGAAGATTATCCTGTTTGGAATGGAACAGAGGTCAGGTTGCAGACATGAGACAATTCTCATCCCTTGCGACCGTCACTTGTCCTCAGGGCTTGGCCTGGACAGAGGCCACGTCACCCTCAAAGACTAAAGCCTGACCTCGGTGTGCTGGTGAAGCCAGTTTATTTAGATTTGTGCTCAGGCTGTAGGTGTCCAGAGTAGGTCATCAGAAGAACTCACAGGGGAAGTGGCCTTTTAGGAGGCTGAAACACACCAAGGGAAAGACAGATGTGAAAAGGGACCAGAGGAAGAGTGGAACCTGAGGTTTACTGTACTTCACATAAATTCAATATTGTGTTGATGAAATTATTTTAGATTTTAAAAAATGGTAAACATGTAGAATAAGCAAATATCACCTTGTTTGGAATTTTCCTAAGGTAGCTGCTTATATTCGTAGGCTAAAGGAAACTGGTCATAAAGTTTTGAGCTTTCTGTGGGTTTGGGGTCCCACACCTTTACCCTAGAAAATTCATTGTCCACATTTTATGTGGCATTTGAATGCTGAAACAGCTTTCCTCTGAAACCATGTCATGAAAAGACTTGAGTTCTTGCACCAGCGGGTACCCAAGAAGCACAGGGCCCGCCCCCGGCCGTGCATCACAACCACCTGGGTGGCGCGGAAGCCTGGGGCCATTTGATGCTGATGCCCACTCAGGTTCGAGAACCTCCGCTCTGAGAAATCTTTCTAGTCTACGAAAATTATTCTGGGTTAGTCTATCCCCCCATCTTCAAAAGTTCCTTAGAAACTCCAGAACCTATCATCTGTTCCATATATTTGGAATTACCTTAAAATACAGATAAATGCGTGGAAAGGCCAATTTTTGAAGGGTAAGGAAGAGGGAGGTGTTTCTTGATGAAAGGAGAACATCTGAAACTTCCCAGTCACCGTCCCCTCGGTTTTCTGGCATTTTCCAGGCTATTCGACATGTTCAGACCATGTATGAAGAGGCTTATAACGATTACCTGAAAGACAGGGGAAGGGGGAACGGGACTCTCATCACCTTACACTCGGCAGTAAGTAACTCATTTCCTCATTAAAATCGCATCTTCTAAAGATGATGCCCGAGCCAGGGTCTCTCTGGTCACCTGGATTAAAAAGAAGATGCATGTGATTTTGCACACGTTTTATAAATTATATGTTATAATGTACATAGGTGTATATATACATGTGTACATGTATTTATATGTGCATATATACACACACACACATATACTAATAGTGTAAGTTTACTGTTGATAAATATCCATAAAGAATTTTCCTATATCTAGAGTTTCTCGCTGAATGTTTGTTCATGCTATTTTCCCACCCTAAAGAGATGTTCAGGAATTCATATCATAGTATACATTATTTACATATTTATTCATTATTTGCCATGATATTTAAGCAAGGAGCTTTAATTCACAAAAACTAGCAGATATAATAGTATAAAACTGTATTTTTTTATGTCTTCCAGAGTTGTTGTAAATTTTATTTAGTGGGTTCTACAATTGTATAAAGCCTAATTTTAAAACACTAAGAAAGAATTAAAGCTTTCTTTTTGGTAAATTAAAAAAAAAAAAAAAAATACGAGTAAATCCACGAGGCCCAGGCAGCACCGCACTTGCCCTCCTGGGAGCCACGTGCGCATTAGGCATAGAGCCCGGCAGAGGAAGACGCCCCACGCAGCGTTCACGGAGGAAGCCCCGACCCGTGCCCCAAAGTGATGAAAGAGCACAAACAAGATCGTGCAGAAAGCAGCCCAAGCACACACCAGCCTCTCTCCAAGGGTGGCACCATGGTGTAACAGAGACAACCATGACCCCCAGGTCAGAAAAGCTCATTCTTGCCTGCGGCTGGGCCTCTGGACAGCTTTGTGACCTTGAGTGTGGTCCTTGCCTCCCCAATATTCCACTGCCTCATTTGTAAAATAAAGGGGCGCCTGAGACAGCCGTCCTTCTTGGCGTCAGTGCACAACTCAGACCTACTTGCAGTTAATCGAGGAGGGTTACAGAGTCCTGTTGACCCCCTGACCACTGTGACCCAGGAAAGCAGCTCTGCCTCTGCGCCAGGTGTCTTCAGGTAGCCCAGTTCTTGTCTGTCACGGGATTTCCAGGAGGGTGCCAACCATTCATCCTGTTCAGCCCCAGCCACCCAAGGACATCAAGCTGCACACAGGTTCCTTTGTCTTCGAAGGCCCAGCCCGAAGGCAGGACACCTGTTTGCTGGCCAGTCCTCAAGCCCTGATCCTTTAGCCTCTGGAGTTTACTGCAGCCACTCCTCTGCTCCGTCCCAGAATGTCCCCAGTTAATGAGCCCTTCCCGAAGCTCATAAAACTTCAGCTACGCAGCAGGTTAAATTACTCCCAGGCTGAAAGAAAAAATCTAAAGGCCCAACTCCTGTCTAAAAAACAGCGGTTTACACAGACACTGAAATTAACTTCTTGCCTTGTTTGGGTTGCCTTGAGTCACTTCCCATCGTAAAACTCAGACAGCTTTAGAGAAGTCCTTTGCTCGTTTTGCCTGCACAATTACGTGACTCTCCACTCTCTTTCCAGAAATGGCGGTTTGGGTTGCGGTGACCGAGCCTCGTAGCTGCTTTGCTGCCACCACACTCAGGTCCTTAGCAGTGGTGCCCAGACTTGCTGCTGCTTCTCCCTCCCCCACCCCCACCCTGTGCCCTAAAAGCTCTTTTCTGACTCTCTAGTTTCAGTGCTGTGGAAAAGGAAGCTCTGAACAGGTCCAACCCACATGCCCAAAGGAGCTTCTGGAACACAAGGTAAGCTCGTCCAGCAGGGTCCTCTCCTGCCTGCAGTGTAAGATGCTCTTTGCCCTCTGGGTGGAGACTGTCATTCTAGGAGGCCTTCTCCCCATGCCTTCTGGGCCTTCACTTTATTCTGTAAAATAAGGGGAGTGGTGCTGAGTCCCCGCGTCCCGGGCCCCTGGGGAACGATGCAGATGCTCTGGCGTTAGTTAAGCACACCAGGGCCAGAGGTGCACACCCGAGGACACTGCCCCTGCCTCTCCACGGTAGGCACAGCGCCGGTACCTGCTTCACTGTTAAGTGCTGTGTGTCAGGCACTGTGCCAGGTTCTCTAAAATATGATGTAAATACCAAAACCTAATGATGACCTTGAGTTTATCACTGAAATAACTTTCCGTTTTAAAGCCACCAATCTTAAGTCAGATTTTCAATTTTGGATCTTTTTCTACTGTTAGAAATCAAAGTAACATCAGGTTAACCCCTCGCACCTGTGACTTGCAGTCAGCACAGTGCAGTGATTAGTGGTGTGAGCTTTGGCCTCACACTGTCTGGCTTCAACTCCCAGCTTCACTACTTACCAGCCCTGGGACCATGGGAAAGTTTCTTAATTTCTCTAGGCCTCAATTCCCTCACCTGTAAATGAGGATTTTAATGTACCAACCTCATAAGATTGTTGTGACGATTAAATGCAACAGTACATACAAACTATTATTCAAAATCAGTCCGCATAGTGCCTAGAATGCAGCAGTAAACACATGCTGGCTCTTTATACAGCCCCCTTCATCCTCGCCTTTGCTCCCAATGATTTCAGTTATCCACAGGCAGCTGGGGTCCAAAAATATTAAATGGAATCCCGCAGAAATAAACCGATTCATACATTTTAAATTGTGCCCATTCTGAGTAGCATAATGAATCTTGTGACGTCCCGTCCCACGCAGGATGCGAATCATCCCTTTGTGCAGCATGTTCACCCTGTACACGCCTGCCCTCCAGTCACTAGTAGCCCTCTCAGTTATCAGACCGACCATCACAGTGTTGCAGGGCTTGTGTTCAAGTCACCCTTATTTTCATAATGGCCCCAAATAGCAAAGGTAGTGATGCTGGAAATTCAAATATGCCAAGAGAAGTCATAAAGTGCTTCCTCTAAGTGCAAAGGTGTGTATGTATCGGGTTTGGTGCCACCCACGGTTTCAGGCATCCACCAGGGGCCTTGAGATGTATTGCCCATGGATAAGGGGGGACAACTATAGCACCAGTTGTTATTGCTGACTCTCTTTTTCCATGACAGAATTGCATTGATGAAATTGAGGCCATAATCAGTGTTAAGCTCCAGCTCATCGGAATTGTCGGTATTGGAATTGCGGGTTTCACGGTGAGAAAGTTCCAGAACATACCTTCTTGACCTCTAAGAAGCCTTGTACCTTTGCATCTCATTTCTCTTCAGCTGTGATGGCAGTATCTTAGGAGAGATGTCTTCTAAAAGACAAAGACATTTGTTGACAGGACATCTAAGAATACAGTTCATTAAATACATTAACACTAAGTTCTCTAGAATAAGACGTAAATACCATAACCTAATGATGACCTTGAGTTTATCATTACAATAACTTCCCATTTTAAAGCCACTATGCTTAAATTAGACAAATGATATTCAATCCTGGGACATTTCCTACTGTTAGAAATTTACAGTAACATCAGGTTAACCCCTCGCACCTGTGACTTGCAGTCAGCACAGTGTGGTCATTCATGGTGAGAGCTTTGGCCTCACACTGTCTGGCTTCAACTCCCAGCTTCACTACTTACCAGCCCTGGGACCATGGGAAAGTTTCTTAATTTCTCTAGGCCTCAATTCCCTCACCTGTAAATGAGGATTTTAATGTACCAACCTCATAAGATTGTTGTGACGATTAAATGCAACAGTACATACAAACTATTATTAGAAATTAATTCGTATGGCCGGGAACATAGCACTCAGTAAATGCTGGCTCTTTATACGGCCTGTGTGTTCCCAGACCCAGAATCCAGGCTGAAGGAACAGCGTCCGTGGAAGTGTGAGGCGTAGTGCCTCCGGGCACCTGCAGGTGGCTCAGTACTTCTAAAGTACCAAAGAAGACAGTGCCAGAACTGACAGGGACAGAAGGGCGTGGTGGGAGCAGCTAGCAAGGGGTCATGAGGAGAGCGTGTGAGGCTCCACATAAGTGAGGTCTTTGTCCTATTCAGAGGTTGGGTAGGAAGAGGGGAGCCACCAAGGGTTAGAAGGACCTGTGGTGCAGCCTGAAGATAAAGTCCAAGGGAAGCAAGATTGGAGTCAAGTGGGGCCAGTGAAGAGGTGATTTCCATCGTGCAGGGGCTGAGTGCTAATAGCTAATGCTAAGGCCGTGCTTACCCCCTAACCCTCGATGTAGATTAATCCTGGCCTAAGGCAGGGGCAACAGGAGTTGGAAGGAAACCGATGAATTGCCAGTTCTCAGGGAACACACAAGCATCTTTCCTCTTCTCTGTATTTAGAGCACAGGGGCGGGGCAGTGGGTGAATGTGCTATGCTGAGGACCTCCCAGTCCAGGGACGCCTCTCGGGCCCTCCCACCTGCTCTGGGCTAGTTTGGTCACCATTCTGAGGCGGAATACTTGGAAACGTTCCGTGTAACAGAAGTGTCAGCTAGACCCTGCTCACAATTCTACAATCTCGATGAATGAGCATCCTAGACCTGCTCATCCCTGACGCATGACAGAGGCAGGATGAGGTGGTAAAGGTTCTTTCTGAGGGTGTCCCTTTAGAGGACAGCCCGCATGAGGTAGGGGTTGCATTGCACCTTACCACCACGGTCCAGGGGACATGCCCTCTGTTGGCCATCCTGAATCAATACCCCGAGAGTTTCTCCTTTAATTCTTTCCTTCGTAAGTTAAGAGTTGCACAGTGTAGTCAGTTAACCAAATGTCCATTAGGTGTCTCCCCTGCCACCACCTGCGCTGAGTTCTGTCAGCCAGAAGCTTGGAGCACTGCCCAAGCTTGGAACCATTCCCTTACGTCAGTCCACCCCCTCCCTTCTGACATAACTGATAAACATCTGTCCTCTTTAACTGAGCATTTACAGACCCTAGGCTGATTTAGGATGGCACTGAGGAGATAATCAGAGCGTCACGGTACTGATCTGTTTAAACAAGCACCGACAGTAGTTGATAAACCTTGTACCACAGAGCGCATTCCTTGGGCTCTGCAGAATTGTAGGGAGATGGCTGAGAACAAGAGGGTCTCTTGGCATCCCTCTATTCAAACCGCAAAAGTGGCTACTGATCCTGCCAAGTAATTGGCTTCTCCGAGAAGTATCCAAGACCAGAAGACATCAGTAACATCACAGCTTAAACACCTTAGTTTATGCTTTGGTAAAGCTATTGAGTTAAATCATTTATACTTAAAAATGGACGAGAAATAAAGAGATGGTCCACTTTTTAATATGCAGTCACTGCCCGGGCCAGGTGTGGCTCAGTGGTTGAGCATCGACCTAGGATCCAGGAGATCGTGGT